AGATAAATTGAGATTTCTCTTGAGTGTTTGGAGATGGTACAGGAGGGCTTGGTACACTGTTCTTTCTACTTCTGCATAGGTTTGGAATGATCCCTAAGAAAAGTAAACAAAAAAGTTCTCTCAAGAAAAACACAGTTCCCATCAAGGAGCTAAGCAGGGTGTTAACATTGTTACCACATGTACCCTCCCCTAAGAACATGTCTGAACGCTGCTTCTATTGGAGTGGCGGGGGGGGGGGGGGGGGGGATGCTGTACAACCTGACCCACCACCGCCACCCCCACTGCACAGGGAATCCCCGTAAATGTGCACTTTGATAACTGGGTGGGAGGGTAACCCTTCTAAAACATTAACTGGCTATTTGTATTTCTTTTTATTGTTATATGACTACTCATAGATCCTTCATGTATTACTTCACTGGGGTTCTCTAATTAATTAAATACTATGAATTAGAGACATTAGCCTTTACCGTAGAATTTGTTGTAAATCTTTTCCCAGATTCATTTATAACTTAGTTTCAGTGGTTGTTTGATATGAGTTTTAAGTGCATCGGAAATAAAATCCATCAATCTTTCTCTTTTCATTATCTGCTTTAAGATCTTCCCGTTTGTTTGTTTGTTTGTTTGTTTAATTCTCACCCGAGCATGCGTATTTAATCTTAGAGGGAAGGGCATGTGCACCCTATGCACCCTAACTGGGGATCAAACCAGCAACCTAGGTGCAAAGTGGGGCCCCCCCACAAAAAGCAGAATTATCTTCTGGAAGGCAGACCCATTGCAGTACTGGCTCCCAAGCTAGGTGAGTGGTTCTGGGAACCCATCTGTATCAGTGTACCAGATGGTGGTGTTGTGTAATGAGACTGCGTTCGGCTTCAATGAATTATTTTAAAGACTCTTTCAACATGTTTGCCCATTTCATGATGGGTGATTTACAGGGCACCTGCCCACACCATGCTGAGTAGTCAGCAGTTTTTATCCAAAAATGGCATGACCCCTGTGCCCCACCCTCCCTATTCACCCAATCTTGCTCCGTGCAACTTTTGTTTCCCAGGATAAAAGAAAGAAGTCCTCAAAGAGAAATGTTTTGCCAGTGTGAAAGAGGTGAAACAAAAAATGGCAGAAGCACTAAAAGGCATCAAGATCAATGAGTTCAGAAACTGTTGTGAGCAGTAGAATAAAAACCTTGATAGGTGTATTGCATCGAATGGAGAGTACTCTGCAGGTGACTGAAGTTAAAATATGTAAGAATAAATACACAATTTTTATAAATAAATGCTGTTTTTTATGTTTATAAATAAATACCCTTCATATGTGCCCTGACCTGGGATAGAACACACAACCTTTTTGGTGTAAGGGATGAAATTCCAATCAATTGAGTCACCTGGCCAGGACAAGATCTTCCCTGTCTTTTTAGAATTATCATTTTTATTTGTTTCATATTTTTTGTGTTATCAATTCTCCCCCCCCCATGTTCACTGGGCTCATTTTTTATCCTGTTTTTCTAGTTTCTTAAGATAGCTCTGTTCATGTGTTTTATTTGCCTTTAAGGTTATTTTCTCAAGAACAACTCTGACTACTCTGTAAAACGTGATCAGTGTCATTACCATCATCATCTCTAAATTATCGGCAATTCTGCCTGGGCTGGTGTGGCTTAGCAGTTTGGGCATTGTCCCACAGACCGAGAGGCCACTGGTTCAGTTACTGGTTTGGGCACAGGCCTGGATTATAGGCCAAGTTCCTGGGTAGGGGTGTGCAAGAGGCAACAAATAGATGTTTCTCTTATACATTGATGTTTCTCTCCCTCTCTCTCCATCCCTTTCCCTCTCTTTTATTAAAAAAAAAAATTACTAGCAATTCCAAAGTTTTAATAAGTAAGTTATAAATAATCCTGACGGCAAGTTACTCGTACCTTTTTTTAAGATTCTAAGCCATTTGGGGGGTTTTGTTCACCTTTTTGTTATTGATTTCTAAATTAACTGTATGCTGGTACATGCAATTTCTCCCTGTTGGAACTTGTTGCACTTCACTGAATGAGCATATTCTTACACGCCTTGTACACACCAAACCTGGTGTGGAGTGTACTGGCCAACCTTCAATAAAATGAAAAAATTAAGAACAATCCAAGGTATTTTCACATACATTAATTTGTAATGATATGTGGGTTACGATTTTGCAAAGATTCACTGCATTGGTACACCATGTTCTAACACAGAGAGGCAAAATTAAGTGTCATGGGTTAAGTTCTACTCAGGCTATTTGGGTTTTGAAAACCATCCCAGCCACTTCTGTGTGATCCTGGGCAGCTCACTGTGCATCTTTGTGCCTTGGCTTTGTTAGTGGGGACAACACTGATACCCACCTTAACTTATAATGTGTACACTGTTACATACAGCACTGATCCAAAATCTTACTACGTGCTGCCTATAGTGGAATAACTGCAGAATATTTCACAGAGCAATACAAAAACAACCGGAAACCCTCTTGTTTTAGAAAGTCTACTGGTTGGTAAAACTTGGAACCATGGTTCCAGTCTTGGAACCATTTTCCTATTATACAGTCAACTCTTATATGTGCTCTATAGACATACAAGAGAAAGTGGGTTCTATTTGTGGTGTACAGAACTCTGTGGCTCTAATTAATAATCAGTCTTGGGATGACTTCTGCCAAGGAGGCGTAGGTGGAAACACTGTGCCTTCTCGCACAACCAAGACTAAAAACAACAAAGTTTTAGCAACAAAAAACGCAGCCAAACCACAGAAAATTGAACAATACAGGAGTCCAACAACAATGAACCACTCAGCCAGACTGATAAGAGGGGTGGAGCCAGCAGTGGAGCGGGTCCGGCAAAAAAAGATCCCCCAATCCAGGTGCTCAGGCAGCCAAGGGTGGATTCCAGGTATGGGGTAGCGACAGGCGGACCCAGTGAAGGCGCAAGGCGGCAGGCTGACCACAGTCACACATTTGCCAGCAGATAAACCAGCAAAGGAGCGAGCAGTGAGACAGACCGCGCAGGCCCCAGCGGCGGGAAGCAGCAGAGGGGACTGCCATTTCTCCCCCTCTGACCCTGCCCCCACATACAGCGTCACAAACCAGCAACCTGGGTGGCCCCGCCCTGGTGAACACCTAAGGCTCCTCTCCTCATATTTAACAGGTGTGAACAGATCAAAACATGGCTCAAGAAGAACTCAGAGCCCCAGAGCCGATAAATCTAAGTGAACAAGAAATTGCCAACCTATCAGAGGCACAGTTTGAAACACTGGTGATCAGGATGCTCACAGAACTGGTTGATTTTAGCCACAAATTAGAGGAACACATGAAGGCTAAACTAATTGAAATGGAGGGAAATGCACAGGAAACCAATAGTGATGGAAAGGAAACTGGAGCTCAAATCAAGGGAGCAGACCAGAAGAAGGAAAAAAAAAACGACCAAACAAAAATATGAAAAAACAAGAATTCGAAAAAATGAGGAGAGGCTAAGAAACCTCCGGGACATCTTTAAATACTCCAACATCCGAATTATAGGGGTACCAGAAGGGGAAGAGGAAGAGCAAGTGAAAATATTATTTGAACAAGTAATAAAAGAGAACTTCCCCAATCTGACAAAGGCAATAGACTTCCAGGAAATCCAGGAAGCACAGAGTCCCAAAGACATTGGACTCAAGAAGGAACACACCAAGGCATATCATAATTACATTAGTCAAGATTAAACTGAAGGAGAGAATCCTAGAAGCAGCAAGAGATAAGAGCATAGTCACCTACAAAGGAGTTCCCATCAGACTGTCAGCGGATTTCTCAAAAGAGACCTTACAGGCAAGAAGGGACTGGAAAGAAGTATTCCAAGTCATGAAGGGCAAGGACCTACATCCAAGATTGATCTACCCAGCAAACCTTCATTTAGAATGGAAGGACAGAAAAAGTGCTTCTCAGATAAGATTAAGTTCAAGGAGTTCATCATCACCAAGCCCTTATTATATGAAATGTTAAAGGGACTTATCTAAGAAAAAGAAGATAAAAAAGATGAACAGTGAAAGGACAGCAAACTCACAGTTAACAACCACAACTAAAACAAAAGCAAACTAAGAGGACAGCTAGATCAGGAGTGAACCATAGAAATGAAGATCACATGGAGGGTTAGCAACAGGGGAGTGGGAGAAGGAGAAGGGGGAAGAAGGTACAGAAAATAAGTAGCATAGATGGTAGGTAGAAAATAGATAGGGGGGAGGGCAAGTATAATAGGGAAAATATAGAATCTAAAGAACTTGAGACATGTGGTCACAAGCTAAAGGGGGGAATGGTGGGGGAGGGGTGTGCAGGGTGGAGGGGAATGAAGGGGGGAAATAGAATAACTGTAATGGCATAATCAATAAAATATATTTTTTTAAAAAATCAATCCTACACTATTATCAAAGCCTCAGATGTCTTTAACTGACATCATTTACAGGGGTAAGTGACATTTTTAATGGGCTTCAAGTTCTGTACAGAAGCACCTGCAATGACCAGCAGGACTCGGGCCTCCTCTCAGGGGTGCAGAGCTCCACCTGGCTTGAGGAGCCATGTCTCCTTTGTTGCCATGAGAGCCTCCTGCAGCACCTGTCTACCACCAGTCTGGATGTATTTCCGAGTGTCATCTAAAGGATTCAGTTTCTAGGTGTTTCAATTCGTGCATAGGAGACCTGGCATGATCTCAAAAGTCAAGCGCTAATGAAATCACCATCTTTCACCCTCCCAAAGTTTGAAACCTTCCAACCCTTCTTCTTTCTACACATCGCTGCCAAGTCTGTCTTTGGTATACCTTGACTCAAGTCACTGTTCAACCTCTGGCTCTAAAAAAAACTGTTGATAATTCCCTGGCACAAAATGAATAAACTTTAAATGGTCTCACTATTCTGACTTTGAGAAAAAACAAAACTTATTCCCTAAAGTCAGAGTGCACTCTAAGAGTTTGACCTTTGGTTGGGAAGAGATTTTTACTGTCCACAGCCGAGTGATCTCAGAACACTTACAGCATGGCGATGCCCCAGTGCTTCCCAGCTCTCTCTCCTGCCGCCTGGAAACCGGACAGGCCAATGAGGGCCACTGTGGGGGTAATGGTCAAGGGGCCAATGTATTTTAGCAGAGCGCCGGGCAGGCCCAGGAAGCCAATGACCACTTCTATCAGTGAAGACATGATGATGGCCCCCTGGATCTGGAATGAGAGGGTACAGACATGAGTAAGCTGCTTATGTCACATACTCCAATGCCACCCACAACCGTAACTGATAATTCTGCAACACGTCAAGTTCTAATAGGCACGTCACGGCTGGAAAATTCCCAAGGGTGACTGGAGCCTAGCAACCTTCAGTAGAACCTGACATAAGAACATAGAAACAAGCCCGTGGTGCAAAGCCAATCTGCCTTTCCCACTGATAAATGAGGCAGGTGTAATTCATAATTCCTGTTTAAGACACATAATATTCAAAAACAGCCTCAAAGGAATCCTGCAGTTCTTGACTTTAAAAAGTGAGCCCCTGAAGGACATTTAAAAAAGTGTTACTGACAAAACCTCTAAAGGAATGTTTCTGTTGTACAGAATGGTTGGACTAATTCTGAACCAATGGTGAATATCTTACAGGTTTTAAGTTTATCTAGATACAACGATCAGCCATTGTTCACATCTAAGGATTCCCCTGACGTGTCCTGTTCAAGTGCACTGTATAGACCATTATCCTTTCATTCTTTTCACAGATGTAGGCAAACACTTAGCCTAGAATGAATAGCTCTGCTGCCTGTTGACAAGACTCTGTGGCTCCTTCCAAAGCAGCCCTACCCCTTGCTGGTTACAGGCCAGGAGTGCAAGTGCGCAGGTCTGTGGGTGCACCAGAGGGGAGAAGGAGCAAAACGAAGAGTGAGAAACAGCAGGGCGGGGGCTGGGAAGAAGTGGGCAGAGGGGGAAAAGGGACGCATCTGTAATAGTGTCAACAATACAAAGAGAGTTTAAAAAGAGTGAGAAACCATATTGTCTGGCTGCACAATGCATTTCTGCATGCCTTATTTTACAATGATGTCATCTAGATCTAGATTGAATGACATGGTTAAAGACGGAAATAAACATAGTAGCTGAAAAGGAGGGCCTGGTGCAAGTAACTACATTTCCTGGGCACAGCCCACACTGAGGCCGCGAGGAAATACAAGGGAGCCACGAGCAGGCAAACTCATCTTTTACCTCGCGTATCCGGGGATGCCAGATGTACTCTGTGTGTAACAGTTCTGTCGTTCCGTTGGCAACTGAAACATCTTGAAAACAAAAACAAAGAAAATTTTTCTTGGAGTGACAGTGATGTTTCACAGGACACATTCATTTCACTTTTTAAAAAGAATTTCCTGTTTTAAGCATATTGGTATAAATTTCAGCAATATAGCTTACCATACTGAAAGGTGGATCCCCCAATGCTAATTTAACCAAATTTATTCAGTGCCTGAGAGCTCCCAGCTTGTCAAAAGCTGACTGAACTAGTGATGCACATGGCTGGTGCCAGCCCCACACAAAGACCAACGCTTGCAAGCAGCTGACTGAAATGCCCAATAGCAAGGTTGCCTACGGTTTTAAAAACCTAGATAAAACAGAGGGCCTGCTCCAGTCCCAGATCCAATCAGTGGTCACAAAGTAACTCCTAGGAGCAAGGAAGGAAATGAAAGCTGGAAAACTTTGCTCCTAGAACCTAAACATGGAACAGTATTTTGAGAGTACTACAGGTCTAGTTTTCTCAAATCCCGTATTTTATCTTTTCCTGACCTTGTCGGATTACTTAAGGATCTTTGTAATCATTAAGGAGGAGAGGGGAAGAAAGTCATTTGCAGGAAAACCCACGCAGCCAGATCCTTAAAAAGCAGAGATGTTTCAGAGAAGGGATGCTGACGCAGCAAAGAGTGTGACTACTGGTGGCTCATAAAACCCATTGAAAGAAAGAGGCAGAAAAATAGCACAAATATCGTTCTCTTCATTCCCACACTTATCAATTTCAGCGGCACAGAGAAATGCCGTCCCTTCTGGTCCTTACTTGCTCTGGAGTTAGGGATGAACAGGTGGATAGAGAGAGACAGAAACCCGATCCACAGATTGGAGCGTTCTGAGCTGTTTGTTGGTTTGTGTGTTCTGTGCCTGATTCCAGAAAGGATTTAACTGTTGCCCAGGGCAGCACATCCAGGCCTCCCTTTTATCGCCTGCATTAAAGGACCCCCATGACATATGTGGAAATAACTGCAATTACCTGTGGTGTTACATTTCCATTTATCTAAAGACAGGATGGCTCGAGCAGGGGCCAGAAATGCAAAAGCACTGGCCTGAAACAGGGGTAACCTAAAAGAAACGAGACCAAAACCATGATCACGGCATCAGGAACTACCGAGGTAGTTCACTATTTGACAGCTTAACAGTCTTTCCACAGACAAACAGCATATGAGTAAATGTAGGCACACCTGGAAGAAAGAACCCCAGTCTGCAAAGATCTCTGCCACACAGCCAGAGCCTTGGCTTCTCCGCCCTTCCCTCCTGCTGCTTTTCCCCCAGACAGCCCTCAGGATGGGCCTGGGGGTAGCCCTGTAATTAGCACCAGCACCCCAATATGGGTCCCTGCCAATGCGACCGTTTCCCCTTAGGGTGGGGATGTTGGGCATTTGGAAGTCTCCCTTTCCTGCTGAGCTTATAAGTTCCTCATTAAACATCAGTGTATATCTTCTATTTCACCACCCACCTCCTCTTCCTCCCTTTCAAATTCTTATCAGTTATCATAGGAAAAAATTTATCTTCCTCTGTTGCTCCATTTTATAAGTCAAAAACTACTCTAAATCACAGAGAATAAGAATTAAAATCATGTTAGTATCTAGATCCATTGAGGAGAAGGAAAGCTGTAAGTTATAAATCAACAGTAGATATAACATTTTCCTTAATCATAAAGACTCAAGTACTCTAAACCTTGTTTTTAAAGGACCCAGAAAACTTAGAGTCTCCATAAAATCTCCACCCACATCCTCCAACTATGTGCAGAGATACACAGATGCTATCATTCAATTACATTTTAGATACTTCTTCACATTATCTTCATGAACACTTGGGCTACTCAAATTCAAAAGATGTTGCCACTTTATATAGAAATGTAAAACATTTTAGCTACAGTTACATTAATATGGTTTTATGGACTAACATGAGAAATTTGATCCCTATTTTTAATATACTTTCAAGGTAAAATATAAAATTGGCTCCTGTTTGCAGGGCTGGGAACTCCCAGATGTCCAGATCCTTCTTAAATACCACGAAACAGCCTTGCAGGAGTGTCCTGGCCAGTGGGACGGGAACCCAGCACGCCTTCCTGAACTGATGGCACGTCCTGCCCTGACTGAAACAGTAACTGGGCTGAAAAGCAGAGTGGCTCTGGCAGAAAGACACCCAGCTGCTTTACAAGTGCAGAGTTGACACACGCCATTCGGAGCCTGATAAGGGTCAAGAGTCCTTGTTTCTTGGCCATTTTAATCATGCAATGAAATCAAACGAGAGGGGGCAGGCTGCTGGCTTTCAGACACAGTTGCAGGCTGCACAGTACAGACCAGATGCATGGTCACATGACCAGACCAGCTGGTCACATGGGCGTGCCCTCCACCAACCATCCATTTGTAATCATCATCTGTCAGAGGGGCCCAGAGCATAGTACCGTCAAAAGTGGAAGTGAAGGTCACCTGACGTGGGAATAACAAAGGAGAAAACACTGCTTGATTTAGACAAATTCCTTAAGCATAATTTTTTAGGAATATACAGAAAGGATAAAAGGAGATTAGCATCTAGTTAGAAATGGATGTCCTATCAAATGGTCCAAACAGCATCTGTTTTGCTCCTGTTTCACATTTCAAGCAATGCATCTTAGGACAATGTAACACAGACTGCACTTAGAGAGCTGGTCCTTGGGAACACTAAGAACAACACTACCCGGGTGACACAATGGACGTGGGACAGTGAAGACTGGCTCTGGGCTCCACTCCTGGGGGCGTGAGCTATACTCAACCTCAGTGGATTTGACCGCTGCCTGGACACCTTTCAGGGCAAGAATTGTATGCCTTCAGCCCCACCAGAGGCCCTGAGACCACGAGACCACTGGTGCAAAGCAGCTCACTAATGTTCAAACAACCAGGACCCGGGGTTCCTTGGAAAATCGATGACAACAGAAAATTACCACCTGTGCTGCCCCGGTCTCCCAAGGTGATGTGGAAAAAGCTGCACATGCTGGCCCACATGCCAGTGTTCGGCCACACACTGCCTGCCTTCAGCAGTGCTGCCTGAAAGACAAGCGGCCGTTTTGCAAGAAGCAGCGGTTAGTACCTCAGCAGTTACCTGTGGCCTCCATTACCAGCAGCATAACTCAGCAGCTTCATTGAATTATCCTTAGGGAAATTTGCAACAAAAGCACATGACTCCATTAAACAAGAGCTTCCCTAAATCACAAGCAACAAAGCTAATTTTCCAAGAGAAAGACTGAGTATGCTAAAGCACTCCATGTTCTCATCCGATAAAGCGGCTTTTTTAGGCACTTCCCCAGTGTCATGCTGGTCCATACTAGGGCACTCCTCTCTGCGCCTCACTCACACTGGCACCTAAACCACAGTCCCCGGGCTCTCCGGGCAGACAAGACTGCCAGCTCTTTTATTTTGTACCAACAGCGGGAGAGGAAACTAATTAAACTGTGCCCTCTTTACACTAGGGGTTGGCAAACGGGCCCATGAGCCAAGTCCAAATTTACTCAAATTACCCGTTTTTATGAGTAAAGAGCTACTGGGACACAATCACCCTCATCTATTTATGAGGTGCTGACAGCTGCTTTTGAGCTGCAGTGGGAGAGGTCAGCCAGTCACAACAGAGACCACAGTGCCCCAAACCTTTACTGCTTGTCTCTTTACAGAACAAGTTGGCTGGCTCTGTCTATGATAAAGCATATCTTAAGTATGTGAAGAGACGGTGGATTTTTGCAAAACCAAGTTTTCACAGTTAACAGTGTCACTGGGTGTTAGTAAGGAAAACCCTGAGCAGAGAAGCACCTTTGTCATGACACCCTCCCGCGGAGGCCTCTGACCCCACGGCAGCAAAAGAACCTAACCAGCCAGTCTGTCGTGGTTGATTTTTCATGGGGCACTTTTACACTGCAAAGTTTAAAAAATGTTTTTATACTTGATGCCATTAAATTTACCACCCTTTAATTGTTCCTGGAGTTTGAACCCTAGTTTAAAAGTTTAAAATCCACCGTGACAGTTTAGCTCAGTAGGTTGGGTGTCACCTGCAGATCAAAAGGTCGCTAGTTCAATTCCGGGAGGGCACATGCAGGTTCGGCCGCCCAGTTGGGAATGTGCAAGAGGCAACTAATCAGTGTTTCTCTCCTGCTCTATCTCCCTCCCTTTCCCCTTCTATAAATAAATAAATAAAACTTTCTTTTTAAGTTTAAAACCCCATTCTAATAAAAAGAAAATTCACTCTTATTTCATTCTCATATTTAGATAGTTTTCATGATTCTTGCATTTGGATCTATAATTCATTTTCAGTTGATTCCAAGAAAACTCAATTAAAAGCAAGTGTAACCATTATCTTCAAGTTCGTGTTATTCTGGTTTTACAGATAAATTCTAAAAATTATATGACCCATTGAGGTCAGCATTTTTAACTAGAGAGACCTGGGGAACCTGGGTGGGAAGGACGCAGCTGACCCCACCTGTCCCCTCCGGAGCCCCAGCTCACAGCGGCAGGCTCTGTGCAGAGAGCACACAGGGACTCCGGGGGGCTGGCTGGGTGTGATTTTGGAACCCCTTTTCCAATATAATAACATTAATGATTTCAGGTCAAGAGCTGGGAGATCTAATCAGTCACAGAGAGGCCTGAGAGAACTCCTGGAGGTGTGGCGATGTTCTGCTGGTTGTGGTTAGATGGCTGAACACATGGGTGAAAATTCATGTAACTGTACATGGTAAAAGGGCAAAATTTTATTGTTTGTCAATTATATCTCAACAGATGTGATTTAAATTCTATCTACAAAGTTAAGGGTCTTTCCGTGAATGGAAGTGGGAGGAGGACGACAACATATTCCTTAAATACCGAGTTAAGTAGTTTAGAAAAACACACTAAATTTAGAAAAAAGAGCTCCCCCCTGGTAGTTGGTGAGAAGCTCTGTCCTCTAGGCCTGTTCTTGCACAGGTTTTGCCACAACAGTCACCTGGCTGACAAGAAAGGTTAAGAGGGGACAGGCAGCAGGCCAGGAGGAGAAGGAAGAGCCATTCGGAGCGGTGGGAATGAAGGTGCAGGGTGCGATGCAATGGTCCAAGAAAAAAAGAAAGACTGTGAAGAACCAAATTCATTAACCCACATTTACTCCGAGGACTCAGTCAGTCTCCTAGTCCCAGAAGCATCAGAAATATTAACAGAGAAACAGTGTGTTAACAGAAAGGGAAAGACCACCCAAGAAAGCTAGAGATGAAGTGGCAAAGCTGATGGCCCGTGTGGCCTGGAGCACAGCCCACCAGCCGCCACACTCATCCAAGTGCGGCTGCTCCGCCAGGTGCCCCGGCCCACTGCAACCCCTCTGCTTCCCTTCCAGAAGCCCCCCTAAACTAAAGAGCGCCCACACGCAGGTGAGTGCAGACTAGTGCCCAGGATTAACCAGAAGAGGCTTTGCAAGACCAGGTGGCTTGCCCAAAATCACATGAAAACAGTGGAATGGCAACAAAAACACCTTTAAGGTCAAAGCCTCCCCCACTTCCACCACACAGCAGGTTAGAGGAGGGAGCTTTGCCTCCTTCCCCTAAGGTCATTACCTCCAGGTTCCCACTGGCCCCCATTTCTTTAATATACAGGGTGGGGCAAAAGTAGGTTTACAGTTGTTCATATGGAATATACAATAATTCATAAATAACAATGCCAGGATAAACTGTGATTCTTGCACTCACAACTGCAAACCCACTTTTGCTCTACCATGTACTACCTAAAATTCTAGAGTTAAGTGAACAGTAATTTTTTTAATCTGGTGAGAAAAACCCCACAACTTGCTAGTTAACATGACAGAATGTCAAGTCACCTATGCAGTAATTTTTGCAAAATTTTCACCCTGAATCACCATTCCCCTAGCCCAATCTCCTTAGGACAAATAAGGGGTGGGGGGCGTTGTACAACTAATCAAATACCACCACGAAGACACAATCAAACCACTTCTGACCACAGAATACTTGACAGACAACTGGACTCTCTAAAAGGGGGTGATGTGGAGGGAAAAGGTAGGGACTGTTCACTGAGATCAGAGATGCAACAAACTAATGCACCATATGAACTTGATCGGATCCTGCTTCAGGGAGGTGGAGGGACGAGCCATAAATGACATTCTAAGGACATGTTAGGAAATTAAATATGGACTGCATGTTAGATAATATGGTAGAATGGGTGTTGAAAATGGTTGCACAGGAAATCGTCATTGGTAGGAGATTTTTTGGGGTGAACCAGCATGCTGTCTGCAACTTTACTTTCAAGCAGTTCAAAAAAATGTGCATACACCCCACACAAATTATATATACAGAAAGAGAATGTGTGGGGAACCCATCTCCCCACCTCACTCTAAGCACTGCACCCCTCGATCCCTGTAAGTTTTATAAGTAGTGGAGTTCAACGCCTGCACTTGAGACCTTGAAGTCTCCCGCAGTCGTCTCTGTACGCAGTGAGCACAGTCTATACAGGCCGCCGGAACCCGAGGAGATGGAAGACAGGAAAGTGGTCTCCTCAGGGCGACAACAGCACCAGCTACAATGACACTTTTGGCCCAAATCCCATCTTCAGTCAGCAAAGGAAGGTTCTATGCATCTACAACAGGCTTGTGATGACCAGGGTAGGCTCCTCCGGGAGGGGCCACCCCGCCCACAGTCTTCTTCTGCTGGAGAGCTCTGAAGGATGCCTCCAAGAGGCACCTGAAGCAAAAGGCTGGAGGTGACCCCCAAACACAGAGCCTGCCACGCCTCAGGGAAGGCCAGGGAAGGTTGGGGTGGGAGGCAAGCTGGAGGGTGCCGGAGGGCCCTCTCTCACCCCCAGCTCTGCACTGATACCCAGGGTTGGTAGGCTGGGGTGGGGGGCACTAGGAAACTACGAGCTGCTCTGTCAGGAAAGGCAGAGGTAGCCAAGGTGAAACAGCAGCTGAGCCCTCACCACAGCCAAGGAGGTGCAAGCTGGCTGACACCCCTGTCCTGAACTCCTGGGATTTTCAAGATTTTGTACTAATTCCTGGAACAAGTCCAAGGGGTGGCTGGGACTGACATCACAAATCAAAGAGAATTAGGAATGTTCAATCCTCACTCATGGAAACTCAATGAAGGCATAGTTGAGAGGAAAGTGCAAGAGATCAAGGTCAAAGGAAAAAAGGAAAGGAAAGGGAAAGGAGGGAGCAGGAGGGGAAAGAAGCAGGCTTGGCGTGGATCGCCCACCGCCCTGCAGACAGAAGCTCTGGGAAGCACTAGAGCCACGGGAGTTGGACAACTGGGGCTGGGACCCACAACCTCCGTTGCAAAGCAGCCACGGTCCACAGAGGGAAGGAACCACTCTTGTGGGGAGTGGGCAGTAAAGGAGGGAGGGTCTGCGGTCCGCGCTGCACCAGACACACTTTGTGTGGCCTCCGCCCAGCCCGTGGGACACGTGCCTCCAAAGGAGCGGTTGTCACATGGTGACATCTCACAGCAAGTTTGTGCTCATACGACATACGACCCCTTCACTGTTTCCCTGTCAATTTTGATTATTTTTGTGGAGTTACACAGGTGTCCAGGAACAGTGTGCCCTCTTCGGCAGGGCGTCCATGTGAAATGAGGATGGGGAATGGCGTGGCCACTGCCCACAGCCCGCAGGTCAGGATGCTGACACTTTCTTCCTTTGAGCTAGTCCTGCAGCTGTCTTAGCTTCCTCAAAATAAAGGGACCCCTCCTCACAAGCACAGACCACGGCTGGTCTTTAAGTCCCAGGCACCGGCTGCATCCAGTGCAATGGAGCCTAAAGTAATCAGCAGGTGGATAGCAAATACACAAAATGGCATACAGAACTCACACACAATTCTATAAGCCACCCAGAGTTGGAAAAGTCTGAAAATCCATCTTAGAAACCACAAAAACTGAACAGGAAAAACTTTTTCTTCTGCTGCTCTAAGCCTAGGTGCTGAAGTGCAACCCCAGCCCATAAAACAAACGCACACTCGTGGCTACATCAGCACTTCCTTCCTGCACGGTCCCACCCCGACAATCCCTCTGCCCCACTGGCCTCATCTATTCATTTGATCTGGTTGTGCCCAGGAAGTAAATATGCATGTGTGTTTTGACAATGATCGTTCATAGCCTATGGTGAGGGTGTGTGGGAGCGTTTAGCAAAACCAAAAGGCTTTTCATATTATTCATGCACTGTAACTTTCTAAACGTATCTTAGGAAGTTTATAATAATCCATGAAAACACAACAGGCCCATTAAAATAATGACAAAATGTCATCCACGGGATAGATACCGCGGGAGGGAGCTCCTCTCATTTTCACAAAGAGAGACGCGGCTGAAGAAGTCTCTATCCAAGGTCCTCCCAGGTTCTCACGCTTGCTTGTTCCACTCCCCCATGTATGAAGAAGAAACCCTCATTTGCCATATTTTGTAAGCTATTGCTTTACACTGAGAAATGCAGATTCTGACTGTCCACGAACTTACAATTTATCATTAAAATATCCAACACCTGATTTAATCAGCACCGGCAGTGTGCCTGACTACAGCTGACCTTGGCACGGGACCAGGGCACAGCTGCACAGTGTACATTTTACCACAATAAAGAATCTTCATATCAACCAACAATTCTCAACTACAGGCACTGCCCAAAATCACAGATAGTCTGTGCTACAAGGTCCTGATGAGTCAGCTATTTGGGGGGGGGGGGGGGGGGGGAACAGGACACTTCCCCAGAGAACCAGTGCCCTATGTACAAGGTAAGGCTCACCAGCCAGCCAGCAAAAGCTTTTTAGTCCACTCTGGACTTGAAATACAGAACCTCAAATGCTGTATCAAAAGAATAAGAGATGCTGCCAGCCAAATAACTACCTGGAGCTAAGAAAATGAATCAAGTCCTCCCTGGAATGCCGGAAACACACCTCCTTCCTCTAGCAGGCCAGTGGCACCCCTGGCCCTCCCTTCAACGTTCAGTCCGAAGATCTGCAAGGGAGCAGCCATTCCCCTTCCAGGGCGCCCTACCACGCTCATGGTTTGACCCATATTCCCCTGTCCCTCCTCCACCCCTCCCCATAAGGGCAGTCCTCTCCAGGTCCCTGAGGATTCTGAATCCTTGGAATACAGTCTATGACTCCCAAGCCCGTACTATCCCCTTTCATTCCCTGAGCAGGCAGGGCAAAGCCCTTCCAGATTATCTCTCAAGAAGCAACGGACAGAACTAGAACCCATAAGCTTACTCAGCTGTCCCTCCCCCGAGGACAGTCCTGTGAGCAGAGCCCTGGGGTAGAGGAAGAAGCTGCAGTATGAAGAGGGCGGAAGACGGGACAGGAGAAAGCAGAGCAAGGCTGCAGGAGGAGGCAGGAAAGACGGGCTCTCTTCCCTCCTCTGCCAGCTGCTCGCCCACTTAAGCTGGGAGCAACGATGCAAAGCCAGAGCCCGGCATCAAGGAGGGGAGCACAATCCAGTGGGAAAGGACACAAAAATAAAAAAAGGGCACTGGAATAAGAACCACATTAGGAGAACGTACACAAGATACACGTGTGGGAATTCAGAGAGAACAAAGTCAGCTTCAAAGAGTCAGAGATGCTTCACAGACAGGGAGGGACCAGGCAGGCCGGGGATGAGCGGGGTTTATGGGGTTGCTGGGGAGCACAAGCACAGGAGTGAGAAACAGCAGGGCTGCTCAGGCAGCTCAGCCCAGGGTGAACGCAGGAAAAAGGGGACAGCAGGGTTCAGAGGCACGGCTGGAAGGGCAACGGGACAGAGAGCAAGGGAGAAGCTTAAAAAGTGGTTTTAAAATCTAGTTTTAAACAGGGAGTAGGGCTGCAGCCTGGCAGCTCCAAGGAAGATGCTGATGTTGGAAAAACAGCACTGGGAGCAGGTGCAGAATGAGACAAGGAGAGTAGCCCTGGAGGAGAGGAAACCAACTAGGAACCTCGTGGGACAGTCCAGGCCTGAACTAAAGGAATGTGGGCAGGAGCGGGTACTGCATAGAGAGCCTGCCCTGTGGCTGGTGGGATGGAAGGAGCTAAGAGTCAGACTTTCCAGCTTGCACAGCTGGGTGGGGGACAGTGCCATCCACCAAGAGAAGAAACTTGGTGTGGGTTGGGCGGGGTCAAGGCTCACTGGAACGATCCCCTGCCCCACCCCCACCCGTCCTGCCAAGCAGCCCTGGGTAAATGGTGTTGTTCAATGCCTTCCCCACACAGGGTTTCAGCACCCAAACTTAGTACCCCAGTCTCACCTGCATCCAAACGTTGTCTGCAGCAAAGTTGTGATTCCCACACAGAAGAAAATGGTCCCAATGAGCTGGCTGGTGGCCCACTGGTCATACCCCACACACATGGCATCGGCCAGCAGGAAGGGCACTGCGATCGTACCACTGAAGCAAGTCAGATAGTGCTGTGGGTGACAGGAAGCCAGAAGGGAAAGAGTTAACCCTCCTCATTTTTTGCCCTGATTTCATCCTAACTCACCCCTCCATTGTTTTAAAAAAAATAGCCCACATGACAAAAAACTCTTTTTTTTAAAGTACACACTTGTATCAAATACCAAATCATATTTCTTTTTCAGCATTTCTCCTTTCCATTACATTTCCTTGTCTTATTACTCACACGAATCTAGGCCAGCATGAAGAAGTACTTAATACAAGCACTGGTGATATTTTACTTACACAATTTTTACTGGGATATCCACGTTTTAAATATATCTTATTGATTATGCTATTGTAGTTGCCCCATCTTCCCCCTCCACCAGGCACCCCCATGCCATCTGGCAGTCCCCCCATTAGTTCACATCCACGGGTCACACATGTAAGTTCTTTGGCCACTCCATTACCTACACTGTTCCTTTGCAGCATCAAATGCAATTATAGGTCTTTCTCCCCTGATCTGTTAACATGAATTATTTTGTGCTGAACCATTCTTGAAACAAACTCTAGTCTTGCTGTATCTTTCACTTCTGCGATTTGATTTGCCAATATTTTATGTAAAATTTTACATCTGTATTTTTTAATTGATTTCGAGAGAGAGAGATATCAACCTGTTGCTGCACTTATTTAACCGTTCATTGGTTGACTCTTGTTTGTACCCTGAACGGAGTCAAACCTGCCACCTTGGAGTACGGGACAATGCTCTAACCACCTGAGCCACCCAGCCAGGGCCAGTCAACTTTTTAAAAAAATTCTCTCGGGTCTGGGGATTAAACTTACACAAACCTTCATCGAACAGGGTGTTTTCCATCATTTTCTACAGGCTGGCACTTTCTGATGACAATCAGGGAAGGATTAAGGGCACACAGGAGTTGTGGGAATGCTCCAGAAAAAGCCCATCCCGCTCTCCCCTTGGGGGCCCACTCTCCATTCCCTGCGGCCCTGGTAAGACAGTCCCAGCAGCCACTGCGCACTTCTCTTCCTCCCAGTGGCCTGCTTGTTCGGCACCTACTTCTGTTCTGCAAGCCCCAATTTTCTTCCCAATAGTTTCCCATCTTCGCTCCTATTTGCCAAAATGTGTTGCTTGCAGACCATAAAACCCAACTTTTACAACACTAATAGGTGTTTTGTGCAAGAAACAGAATGACTGCCATCCAGGACTTCTCAGAGCGGCTCACAAGCTCAAGAACACTGTACTGTCAAGAAGGGCCTAATGTGTGCAGGGTTTCCCAATCCCATTTGACCAGAGAAGACTTCTTCTAGAAACACCTATAACATAAACATTTCCAAAAGCAGGTTTCCTGAATCTGTCTTGGAATGTTCAACCCAAGGAAAATTATCTGCCAGCTCCTTTGGTCAGGCCTCCTCCTTGATTAGACACCTTTCAGTCCAGGGTACCTAAAGGGGGTCAGTGGGGTGCTGTGATACCTAAAGGGGTCGGTGGGGCAGAGGTAAGGGGGAGTGCTAGCAATCTGCACCAAACTATCAGCTGTCAGGGCAGATGCAGTCTCACCTCCAAGTGAATAAACTTGTGTGGGCAATGAGACGGACTTTCTCAGCATGTAAAATACCCTAGGACTGAACTGATCCTTCAAACTTGAAAAAGGAAGAATGGAAAGTCAGACCTGAGAACAGAGCCCAGGCTAAAATAACCAAGAGAAACACAGGCCAGCAATGTGGGTCCTGGAAAAGAGCGTCCGGTCTCGTCCCCTTTCTCCTAAAGCCCCACGTCAATCACTTAGTGGGAAAAGGGTGTTGAGAGACGAATGGGGAAGTACCAGAGATGTAGGAGCCCTGCAGAGGCTTGTCACCTTGTGTGACGTCCCACCCAGTCCCCCAGCCCAGCCCCATTCCCCTACCCTGGCAGCTTCCCTGCCCTGCTCCTACCAGAAGCCGAAGCAGGCAAAGCTGTTACTACGATGGCAACGTTTGTCTTCCTTTAAAAAGAGGATATTAAGTCTGGGCCAATGTAGCATTTCTCAGTGTCAGCTGTATTTCATGACAGAGCTGACCATGATTATAGATTGGTTAACCAAGCCAGGAATGGGAGATGAAAACTGGTTCTGCCTTCCTCCATTCTTCTACTCTTCTCCTCCCTCTACTCTTCCTTCTTTCTACAGCTCTACGATCTTCTGTCCTTCCTCCCATGTCACTTCTTTTGCTAATTCCATGAACATTTTCCTTCTTTCATTCCTTAGTTACCTTCCTAAGCCTGTTCGTTTCTTCCTTTCATTATTATAAAACTGATGTTGTTAATTTCCATTCATCATTCTTAAAAGAGTAATTTATAATAAAGTCATTAATAAAGAAAAATAAAAATTGAATTTAAGAAACATCCAGAGAATTTGAGCACCTGCCAGTGGTTACATCCTAAAGAAATCATCTTACCTGCAGCCCCAGAAATATGCACAGGTACCAGGGAGGAACGTCTTCTATGGTGTAAATCATGTCCGATCTCTGGGGATCTAGACTGCCGGTGCTATCCAACGTCTCAGCCAGAGAGCTCTGTGAGCAAGAAGGGCAAAGGAGTTGTTTATAAAACAAGGACTAAAGTTAGTACTGCTTAGTACAGGCCCATTACTGAAAAACAACTTCGTAAAGAGGCTGCCACGCTCCCATAAAATTAAGCCACGACTACCTTTGACACAGTGCTCAAGCACATTGGCTTAGTGGGACACTCAAATCCTCAGAGTTTGGGGGTCCAGTATCTGCTGCCCTCAACTCATCCCCAAGGGCACCCAGCTTGCTCAGAGATTGTCCCCAAGTCTGGGGACCAGCTGCATGGAGGACACGCTCTCAGGTTGAGATTATGAAGTAATACCTTGGCATGAGCAGTCGTTGAATGGTGCCAGAATGAAGAAATAATATGAAAGGCTAACCACTTTCAAACAGAAAGTACTAATCTGCCACTCCTACCCCACCCCATCCCTGCAAAAAGAATGAACTTCGTGCCTAAAATTAAGCTCCCACATTCTTCTACCAAAACACTGCTGCCAGACACAACATAGAGTGGAAAGAGCAAACTTCAAAAGTATACAGATATGTGATTCATATTTTACTTAAAACAAGACTAAAAATGTACTTACAGTTTAGGGGGCAATTTTCTTTTTTTCCCCTCCAACCACTACTAAAGATTTTTTTCAGTGTTAGGTGTCGCATGCTTTTGAGCCAAAATCTTCACAAAGACCAGACATTTTAGGTTACAGTCCAACATTCCCAGATAATGAAACTCTGACCCTTGACCATATCTAGCCTAATTTGTGCCCTCCCATCAGACGGCTTTGGTCCACAGAAAGATTTCTGACACCACATGCCTATTACTCAATTTTCCATGCACAGGGCAAAAGGGATTTAGGAACCAAACATCCCAGAGCAAAAGAAGTGATGCAATTCAGGCCTGCCCTCTAAAGCCTAAAGGTAAATGTCTGATGTAAGTTACATTTGATCTAATCCAAATGTGACTTGAATATGACCTTTCCAAGAGAACTTTTTCTACCACTCACACAACAGATAATGGGAGATTTATACTGTTGAATGGGCTAAAATGAATTAAGTGTGTTTCTTAAGAGTTTGTTGGTAGAGAAAGTACATGTGTGTGAGGAGTCTGATACATGGTGATGTGCTGTGAAGGAATAACTCAGCAGGTCTGGCATATTCAAACCATGTCCATTTCAGAGAAAGGTTTAGCCCTTGCCTGGCATATGGGGGGTAATCTCTGATCTCATGGAACACCCTGCCTCTTAAGAGTGCGTTTGTTCACCTGAAGACTACCCCAAACACAGTATGTGCTAACGATGTGATCTATGGTAGAGGCCTTGGGTACTTGGTATCGGTTTGACCACTGGTAGCACTGGACACTAAGGTCAACCATGCAGTGGTCAGCCATATCTACTATAAGACTGATCCTCAATAAAACCCTGGACACTAGGCCTCCAGTGGGCTTCCCTGGTTGGCAACACTCCTTGTTGTTTGGGAAAATTAGGCACTGCCCACATGACTCTGCTGGAAGGGGACAACTGAAAGCTTGTGCTAGAGTCTCCTGGACCCTTCCTTAGGTACCTTTTTGTTGGGAACCACTCCGCCTGGTTTCAGGAGTTGTAACTGCCCCTCATGGCTAAGGCTGAGTAAGTGACCTCTTGAATGCAAGCCGCTAAGGAGACAAAGCTTATCTCCCTGGCAGCAGCACTGCTTTCTGCTTCATCCTCTGCCCCCAATGCTTGGTTGGTTAATCAAAGACAGGTAAGACCCCCTCAGAGGAGGGGCAACCTAAGCCAGACACGATCACTTGGAAGGTCCTTAAGAAAGGACTCAGGGGGCTGCAGCAAAGAGGGAATGATGGACCCTCACGCCCCCCCCCCGGCTATTCTTACATAGCCTGAGTTCCGATTTCCATCTGGAAGAAGCACTTCCTGGCTCTAATTCACTTAAACCTAAAACCTATGACAGGGAGGGCAGTGCAGCCCTTTGCCTGCTAGAGCAGGTTCCAGGGTGATCAGGCATAAGAAAGAATTTATAGAGACTTCCGCCAAGATGGAGGTGTAGGTGGAAGCACTACGCCTTCTCGCACAACTAAGTTTAAAAACAACAAAGTTTTAGCAACAAAAACGCAGCCAAACCACAAAAAATTGAGCTACACAAAAGTCTGACAAGAATGAACCCTTCAGCCAAACCAGTAAGAGGGGCAGAGCCAGCAGTAGAGTGGGGTCAGGCAGGAAAGATCCACGGGACCGACTGGGCACACGACCCAGGTGCATCAGCAGCCATGGGCGGATCCCAGGTGCAGAGAAGCGGGCCGACTCACTGAGGGCTGACCAAAGTCACACAGTCCAGCGCAGATAAACCGGTGAAGGAGCAAGCAGTGAGACGGACCGCGCAGGCCCTAGCAGCAGGAAGCAGCAGAGGGAACCGCCAATGTCCCTCTGTGACCCTGCCTCCACATACAGTGTCACAACCCAGCGACCTCGCGCCCTGGTGGCCCCGCCCCACCCCTAAGGCTGGGCTCCTCACACTTAACAGGCGTGAACAGACCAAAAATGGCTCACGAAGATCTCAAAGCCCCAGAGCCCATAACTCTACGTGACGAAGAAATAGCCAAACTTTCAGATGCACAGTTCAAAAACACTGGTGATCAGGATGCTCACAGAACTGGTTGATTTTAGTCACAAATTAGAGGAACAAATGAAGGCTAAACTAATTGAAATGAAGGGAAATGCACAGGAAACCAATAGTGATGGAAAAGAAATTGGGACTCAAATCAATGGAGTGAACCAGAAGGAAGGAAAAAATGACCAAACAGGAAAATATGAAGAAACAAGAATTCAAAAAAAATGAGGAGAGGCTTGGGAACCTCCAGGACATCTTTAAACGCTCCAACACCCGAATTATAGGGGTACCAGAAGGGGAAGAGGAACAGCCACCAGTGGAAAACTTATTTGAACAAATAATTAAGGAGAATTTCCCCAATCTGGCAGAGAAAACAGACTTCCAGGAAATCCAGGAAGCTCAGAGAGTCCCAAAGAAGTTGGACCCAAGAAGGAACACACCAAGGCACATCATTATTACATTAGCCAAGATTCAAATGAAGGAGAGAATCCTAGAAGCAGCAAGAGATAAAGGGACAGTCACCCACAAAGGAGTTCCCATCAGATTGTCAGCGGATTTCTCAAAAGAGACCTTACAGGCAAGAAGAGGCTGGAAAGAGGTATTCCAAGTCATGAAATCCAAAGACCTACAACCAAGATTGCTCTATCCAGCAAAACTTTCATTTAGAATGAAAGGGCAGATAAAGTGCTTCTCAGATAAGATCAAATTCAAGGAGTTCATCATCACCAAGCCCTTATTATATGAAATGTTAAAGGGACTTACCTAAGAAAAAGAAGATAAAAAAGATGAACAGTGAAAGGACAGCAAACTCACAGTTAACAACCACACCTAAAACAAAAGCAAACTAAGAGGACAGCTAGATCAGGAGCAGAACCATAGAAATGAAGATCACATGGAGGGTTAGCTACAGGGGAGTGGGAGGAGAAGTGGGGAGAAGGTACAGAAAATATGTAGCATAGATGGTAGGTAGAAAATAGATAGGGAGAGGGCAAGAATAGTATGGGAAATATAGAACTAAAGAACTTGAGACATGTGGTCATAAACTAAAGGGGGGAATGGTGGGGGAGGGGGTATGCAGGGGAATGAAGGGGGAAATAGAACTGTAATGGCATAATTAATAAAATATATTTTAAAAAAAGAAAGAATTTGTAAAGTCCTGTGAAGCCTGCTTTGCTAAGAGTGCTTTTATTCATATGCTAAGGGTCTGAGCAGGAAATGAGTATGTCTCCCAAAGTTTCTGCAACCCCCTTACCTGACAGACACTGACTTAGATTAAGCCCTCAGATCTCTTTGAAACTCTTTGATCCTTGCCACCTGACATTGATTGATGAGCTTTACTTGTATTCCTATGTGTTCCAAACCTAATAAAAGCCATTAAAGAAGAGGTTCTTGGTCCTTCTCCTCTGAGAGATTGACCACTTCTCCTCCCCAAGTAGATCATGTCTTGATTGTGTTACTTTCATCCGTGGCGGACAGGGGGACTTGCTGGCAAAGTTGCCCCCACACCTATTTCCAGTGGTTTTAATCTGTATCCCTCCTCTGAAATATGCTGTAATCATGAGTGTGACAGATTTTTTGAATTGAGTCCTTGAAAATCAGAGCCTGATTCAGGAACCCCTAAACTCAGGTGACCATTTTGCCGACAGGACACAACTATGGATATTAGTCTTGCTATATAAAAAGTACAACGTAACACTATCGTGTTATCTACAGTCTCCTAGTGGAAAAGTGTTACTGCTCACGAAATAACAGAAATATCTGAAAGCAAGCAATACGACAATTAGATTAGTACAACCTGTTACAGTAATATCATAAGTAATATTTTTGTGATGATTCCAAAACAACTACTTTTAAGTATTGTTTTGATGAACAGAAATGAAAATACTGTATTTGTCCTTGTAGGCCTAGCAGGCTAAGATTAAAAGGTGTACATGCATGTATGTGTACAAATATTCTCCCTCTCAAGTTTTCTTAGTAATGATATAACAGGGTGCAGCCGTGCCCCCCGCAAGAGGGATCTGCAACGGGGTCCAGAACTTGGGGTGTCCAGGAAATATTAAAAATATGTGAGGTCCTCCCCCCTAAAAGTCTGAACTAGGGAATGGGACACATGGAGCAGGGCCATTGAGAGTTACTTTGCATATCGAAAGTTTTGCAAATAACTATAAAAACAGTTATTTTACGTATCTATAACTTTTGGTTAGTCTCATAGATATGTTAAATAGCTGCATGCTTTGAGCCAGGGACTTGGGAGCAACTTTAATCCATGAGGTAACTGGGAGGAAGCTGCCCCTGGTTACAGTGTCTGTGTGAGAGCTTGGAGCTGAATTGCTCCATGCCAAGGGGCCACACCTGCCCAGATTTACAGTCATAGCCCAGAAAAGCTATAAAAATATGGGAAA